CTCATGTACCCCCACTCCTCAGAGCAACTAGGGGTTCCTTGGCTTCAGGCTGTTGATGGCTCCCAGGGCCTAAGGGATGAAGACCAGGATGGAGACTCTGAGTGGGGGTAGAGTGGGCTAGGGCTCCCAGGGAGCTCTGAGGGCCAGGACTGGCTGGTATAACCCCTGAGCCCCAAACCTAGGCCCAGGCCCAGATCTAGGCTTTATGTGGCCTGAAGCTTATACTTCTAGGTGGAAGGCCAAGCAGATCTGGGTGCCCAGCCTCTCTGGGGCCTTCCCCTTCCTTCATCTAACCATACGGCCCTTCTAGGCTTTCCACAGATTTGACAGCTGGAGACCACAGACATGGGAAATAAAGAGGATTCTTTGAACATGCCTTTCCCTTCCTCCCATTGAGGGCCCTGGAGACACAAAGTCACGTGCAGGTGTTACGGTGTACCCTCAGCTATGACCAGAGTCCAAGGTCAGTAATCGTATCTCCAAGGAAAACAGATTTAGGATCTCCTGGGAGCTTTTCTCCCTGGAATTAGGGTTGAAGCTCTGGCTGGAGAAATGGGGTAGAGGCTGGGGCAACTGGCGGCCAAGGCTGGGGTCATGGCCACCTCCCCACTTGGCTCCACCAGACCCCATCCTGAGCTGGTCCCTGGAGGACACCACACTTCCCGAGGGCAGAAGCTGTGTCTCCTGCACCTAGCAGAGTTCTTGGTACATAGTTGGTGCTCAATGAATGCTGAATTGAAAGGGTGGAACGGGGCTGGGGGATCTGACTGCTCCCAGGTGGTGGCCCCTGAGGGAACGAGAAAGACTGCATTGGGTGTGAGGGGCCCCAAGTCTGTGGAGGCCAGGGCACTGCCAGGAAGAGGCAGCAACTAGGTAAACAGGCCAAACCCTCCTGCATCCCCTCCCTTGGAAGGGGGGGCTCTGCTTTGTGATGTTATTTTGATTAACAAGATTGTTCCTTTAGAAATCAGGCAAAGACCAACTAACTCACAGCCAGGCATTTTTTATGCAGGGATTTCTTCTGAGCACTTCTTGGGAAATCAGCCTGTGTTTTCCAAACCATGAATCCTGAGAAAAATCAACTGGGAAAACAGGAAAAATACTGTCATTCTCCTGTGAGAACTGAAGCTTAATCAACAGAGATGTGATGGGTTTGAAGGATCCCACTGACGTCAAGTGAAACCAGGAGCGGAAAGCACTAATAATGCCAATTTGAAGGTTAAGGTTGACATTTTGGAGGACAGGAACAGGAACACATGGGAGAGATGTGCTCATCATATAATCGGTCTTGCTTGCAGCTCTTTTAATATTGTGTGTGTGTGTGTGTGTGTGTGTGTGTGTGGCCCTATTCTGGTACCGAGCAGTATTGCAAACAAAATAAATATTAATAGGTTTACACACTCAGTATATCTTTTAGAAATCTTATGAGTGGAGTCCCAAGGGGGAAAAAATATTTGAAAGCAAAATAAATCAATGTGTGGTAAATTTCCACACATGATTTTGTAGTGTTATTCTCTTTGCTAAAAGATCTGAATGTTGCATATCCAAATACTACCTGACGAGGTGCGTTGATGTTTTCCAGTGTTTGAATCTCTATCGTAGCCAGTGGTGCTTTGTGAGTACCACTAACCTTAGCATTTTTTAAAAAAGATTTTATTTATTTATTCATGAGAGACACACAGAGAGAGAGAGAGAGAGAGAGAGAGAGAGGCAGAGACACAGACACAGACAAAGGGAGAAGTAGGCTCCATGCAGGGAGCCTGATGTGGGACTCCATCCAGGGATTCCAGGATTCCAGGATTCTGGGCTGAAGGCAGGCGCTTAACCACTGAGCCACCCCGGTGTCCCTAACCTTAGCATTTTTTATACATTAAACAAAAATTTTAAGATATACTTGTCAGTAAAGAGTATGAAGAATGTTGGAGGCTTTTTAAAAAAGACTTTTTTAAAAAAAAGGTTTTATTTATTTATTCATGAGAGACACAGAGAGAGGCAGAGACATAAGCAGAGCGAGAAGCAGGCTCCCTGCAGGAAGCCTGATGTGGGACTCCATCCAGGGACTCCAGGATCACAAGCTGAGCTGAAGGCAGACACTCAGCCTGAGCCACCCAGGTGTCCCTTTTTTAAAGATTTTATTTATTTATTTATTTGAGAGAGCAAGCGAGCATGAGCAGGGGAGAGGGAAAGAGGGAGAAGGAAAAGCAGACTCCCCACTGAGCAGGGACCCTAAGAACATGACCTGAGCCAAAGGCAGATGCTTAACTGACTGAGCTTAACCGACCAAATCACCCAGGCACCCCTGTTGGAGGTGTTTTAAGAATAACTAGGATTTGGGGAATTTTTAAGAATTCCCAGGGATTCCAATTTTTAAAAAATATTTTATTTATTTATTCATGAGAGACACACACACAGAGAGAGAGGCAGAGACACAGGCAGAGGGAGAAGCAGGTCCCATGCCAGGAGCCCGAGTTGGGACTCGATCCTGGGACTCCAGGATCATGCTCTGGGCTGAAGGCAGGCACTCAACCACTGAGCCACCCAGGCGTCCCTGGATTCGAATTTCTTATTCATGAATTCTGATGTTAAACATCTGTTCAAAAATTTAGAAATTCTATTCCAGCCTCAGTGAAGATCCAATTTCAAGTTAGGGGATTAAGAGGGTCAAATTTTGGGGGCTTGGGCACTGGTTGGGGGGAACTGTTAGGTTTATATCCATATCCCTTTGATCCATATCACTCCTGGGGGAAATCTTAGCCCTGAGGGCATTACACGTATTTGGGTTGGTGGGTTGCACTGAATTGAGAATCACAAGGCATCTGAGGGGTTCTCCAGTGACATCACACTGGTGGAACACCCATGACAGGCAACCATTCACCTCCTGTCTCCTTACCAATGACCCCCACATTCCCCACTGTTCCCGGCCCTGCGGAGGGCAGTACTCATCTTCTCCCTGGGGAAATAAAATTCCTTGTGTCCTGCCCAGGTCAGAGCTTTGGAAGTCAGTACAGGAATCTTTAACTTGGCTTCCTGTGTGGAAAGAGCTCTGGGTCTGATTCAAAATCCCAGATTTGAGTCCTGCATCTGTTAGTGACAAGCTTTATCTCATTGACCTCTAACTGGTCTGTTTCCATGAATATTCCACCCGGCTCTGAGGCTGGGGTGGGGTACCAAAAAACAAACACAATCTGGTTAAATAAATAGATAAGGGTGGTCACCTGGGTGGCTCAGTGGTTGAGCATCTGCCTTCTGCTCAGGGCATGATCCTAGGGTCCCAGCATCGAATCCCACATCGGGCTCCCTGCATGGAGCCTGCTTCTCCCTCTGCCTCTCTCTCTCTCATGAATAAATAAATAAAATCTTTTAAAAAACAAATAGATAAGAGAAATAAGTCATCAGAGAAGGACAATTATCATATTATCTCACTCATACGTGGAACATAAGAAACAAAACAGATGAACATAGGGGAATGTAAGGAAAAATAAAATAAGATGAAAACAGAGAGGGAGACAAACCATGAGAGACTCTTAACTATAGGAAACAAACTATAGGAGGGTTGCAGGAGGGGTGGTTGGTGGGGGGACGGGGTAACCGGGTGACAGGCATTAAGGAGGGCATGTGATGTAATGAGGACTGGATGTTATGTAAGACTGATGAATGACTGAACTCTACCTCTGAAACCAATAATACATTATAGATTAATCAGTTGAATTTGAATAAAAAAATACAAAACAGATGAACAAATGAATGGGTAGTTGAGAAGGCATTTGGGAAGGGACTGGCACCTAATAGGCACAATCTCTGTATATCACAAAAGGAAAATGAAAACTTTCACTTAACCAAATGGATTGAGAGCATCTGTACATCTCTCTTCCTTCCCCATGCTGCATTTAAGAAGTTTTATAAAGAAATATGAACGATGCACACTCCCAAGGACAAAGATAAGAGATGTCAACAGCTGCTTCATAGACTGAATCATTGGAACCGGCCTGTCAGGGCCAAGGAGGCTGCAGTGGGCATTGGCTTCCTCAGAAGGTCAGGCCAGAGGGGGCACAGAGGACACAGGGGGGCAGTAAGAACCCATCTTTCTTTCTTCCTCTCACCTTGGGGGAGACAGGAGTTTCACTCTCTGTGGAGACAGATGAGACAGATTCAGGTTCCAGGTCACCAGACCCAGCAGATGGGGGACCCAGCAGAAAGGTGCATGCTGAAGTCAGGACAGTGGAGTGTAAGTTCCCAGCCTGTGCCCTGAGACCTCGGGGACCCTTTCTCACTCTGATCTGAGTGCTGGCTGATACCTTCCAGGTGGGCAGCTGGAGGATTCTTCTCTGGAACCACTGACCAGCCTGAGAGACAAGACCTACCATTACTGAAATTTGGGTCCTTCCATCAAAATATGCAAGTCTCACACACGTCCTTCTATAAAGAAGTTCAGCAGTTCCCAAGCCCTGTCCCCACACTCAGAGATGCCCTATACAACCAGCCACAGACAGCCTGGGGTCATCAAGGCAGGAGAAAATTGTGTAAGCTAAACACACCCTAACTTACTTGTGTTCAACTTGTAGGGAAAATGCTTAGAAAACACTTTATTTAAAAACCACCATCCCTCTAGAGCAGAAGAGAACAAGTAGAATTATTCTAATCTGCTAGGAGTCTGCTGAGTTTTGAAAATCTTGTTTTTTTTATGAAAAAAGGCTTACATCAGCTTTGAATTGTGAAAATTACTGAAAGGGAATCTCCTATAAAATGAAGGCGGGAGGCCAGAAGGGGGAGCTCTCTCACCCTACAATTCCTCATCACTTGCAGACCCAAATGGAAGAGAGATGCCTTATAAAGTGATACTCCTTAAGCTGCTACTTTACTACCCTGGCAGGAGGAAGTTTTTCTCCTCCCCTGGCAACAGCCCAGCCAGTGAGAGACTTACAACCCAGCCAATGAGAGGTCAGGGTCCTTTCAGGTCCTAGGCGCTCCAATGGACTTTCCTTTCAAGGGCTCTCACACCTTCCCTATTTCCTCTATGAAAGAGCAGCTTTCTTTGTTCCCTGGACTTGCCTCTGGTTTGGCTGTAGCTTGCTTGTCCCAAATGGCAACTCTGGTACTCCTGAACAGACCCATTTTGTTGTTAAAAGAACAGACAGTTTTAAGATTAATAGCCCTTGGTGATCAGAAGTGGGATCCAGAGAAGATTCCCCTCCCCACCCCCCAACCAACAACTCTAAGGCTGGTGAACAAACAGGGACTTGTACCTACACAACCAGTTGAGCTCACTGCGTCCTGCCATCCCTGGAGTCTGAAGGTAAGTTTTCTTCTGGTTTATAAACTACTTTCTTTGTGTTTTGAGCTCTCCAGGCTTTATTCAGAATCTGTCTCAGGTCCTGTCCTTTCTGAGAGGTCTCATTTGGCCTTTGGTCTGATTCCTTTTGGAACCAGGCTGTTCCTGTTGAAACTGTACTGTTGAGGAATTTCTCTTTTTTTTAGTTTAGAGAAAAATCTCTAAGAAAGAGGATACCAGTCATCAAAATGCTTTGAGAGTGTCTCCTTCCCTGCTTTCTGGGTTCCTGCGTGGTTTTATGGGTCAAAACTGTGGTCCCTCCTCAAGTACATTACTAACTAAATGGACCAAATAAATCAACAGTAATTTAGCATTTCAATGGCCATTATGGGGAACTTCTGATCTCCTTGAATTTTACTCAAAATTATATTAGAAAGCCACGGCTCCAAAAACTAAAAAATTGTGTGGGATGTTTATTTTAATTGGTACCTTTAGGCTTCCAAACATTTTCAGGATTTGAAGTTGGCTTCTTTGCAAAATACTATTTCTAACTTGACTGAGACAAACAATGAAAGAAGTCAAAATGGCTTCTGACGCCTCTTCCATCCCCTGCCCTCCAAAGTTGGTCAAGTCTGCAGGTGCACAGCTGCCTTGTGCTCAGCTCCACCCCGGGCACTGTTTTCCTCTATTCCCTCTGCGCCTTCTCTGTCCCCTCCCTACCCTCTGCTCCTTCAGTCTCATCTTTTCACCCAATTTCCCTTTTTCTTTGAACCTCTCCCCAATGCCCTCTTCTCCTGTATCTATTAAAGCCTGCCTTTTTAAAGTTTAGTCTTTAGGGTGCCTGGGTGTTTCAGTTGGTTAAACATCCTTGGTCTCAGCTCAGGTCTTGATCTCAGGGTCATGAGTTCAAACCCCGTGTTGGGCTCCACGCTGTGTGTGGAGCCTACTTAAAAAAAAATTTTTTTTTTTAAATAAAATCTTCTGGGGCATCTGGGTGGTTCAGTGGTTGAGCATCTACCTTTGGGTCATGCCATGATCCCAGGGTCCTGGAATCAAGTCCCACATCAGGCTCCCCACAGGAAGCCTGCTTCTCCCTCTGCCTGTGTCTCTGCCTCTCTCTGTGTCTCTCATGAGTAAATAAAATAACATCTTTTAAAAAAAGAAAGTCTTCTGAGGATCCAAATAAACTCCACATTCCTTCTGTTCCCTGGATTAAGGATGAATTTTGAGCCACAGTTTCCTAAAGTAACTCCCATAGGTTTGCTGAAGAATTTAACTTAGTTATTTAAACAACCCGGTTTCTCAGATTTATATCAATTAATCCACATGACTCTTGGTGGATTAATTGGGCAGGCCAAACACTGAATTAAAATAGCCTGATGGGAACATCCGGAAAGGGATGTAGAGATACAGGCCCCTAACTTTCAGCAAGATGCTAGAACACTTGTTGGAAATCTCCACTGAGCAATTGCAATAGCTTTTCCTAAGCCTGTTGACTGGAACAGAATTTAGGCTTGTACACAAAAGCCCGATGAACCTGTTTGGGGCTAATATTATTACCTCCAAATTGTCTTCAAAGAAAATTCTGGTCTTCCTTTAAATATTGAATTAGCCTGGGTAGCCCTTAACTCTGTTTATTAAATGACTGAACCAGGATCTATCTCTTTTAGTTAAAAGGAAACCACAATGGAATAGGAAACTGGGTTCACTCCAGTTTTAATTAATTGGGCAAGCCAGCTCTTTGGCACCCTAGATGAGTCACCTAAAAGAGAGATGGCTAACATTTTCAACTTTCAACTCGGCAAATAAAGGTCCCTAAAGAAAACCAAGAGTTTCTGCTACTATTGCAGAGAGCCAGGACATTGGGGGGGAAATAGCATTATGAATTTAAGTACTCAGGCACCTTCAACCCTCCAGCCAGCTTTCCCAACGTCCTCCTGATTCCCAGTGATGGGGAACTACAGGGGCTCCTCCCAATATTCCGTCTTAATTGGCTCAGAGAAACGACTCTGCAGGCTGGGAATGAATCTCTCTCTCCCCTCAGGGACACCAGAGCTACACTCTTGGTCCTCAGCCCTCCGGAAGTATTACAAAGTTCAAGAAGTGGGGGTCTCTAACAAGCCTCCACAGATTCCTGCCTCTGAACCTCTTCCCTTTTGTCAAGGCCCTTTGAGAGAAACGTGCCCCTTTTACCTTACTTCCTCCACCCCTATTCATTTATTGTGCCGAGATTTCTTAGAAGAGTGGCATGCTGGGGTTCTTCTCCCAAAGGGGAGGATGATTCTAGAATGTGACAGTAATCAAAATAGCCAAGCAGGTGAGTTAAATGACATCCGTCCTTTGCTCTGGCTCTGATAGCACTATAGCCACCCTGAGGACACTGATTATTTGTTCCCGTTGGACCAGCTGTCATTGTCTTTGTGAGCAGAATCTCCAACTGCTATTGGCCGAATCCACAGGGTGTCACTCATCAAGATTCAAATAGATCCCTCAAAACCTCCCCCCAGAACTAATCAATACCCTGTAAATAAAGAAGCCCTTCAAGGCATCAAGCCCATAAGAGAAGATTACAAGGTGTGGGGCCTCATTAACCCTGCATTCGTCCTTGTAATACCTCTGTTCTACCCAGGAGAAACCCAATGGCCAAGGATGGAGGCTTGTCCACTGACAATAAACAGTGCTGTCATCCCTCTGCACCCCGTTGCTCCTAACCCCTGTGTGCTACTGACATCCATTCTCACTGGAAGCAATCTATGCTCTTCATTTTGAGTATTCGGTTGCTAAGGGTAATGAATATCTTCTTCCCTTCACTTGGGAAGAGCAGAAACATACCTGGACTGTCATGCCCCAGATCCGATTACACAGAGTCCTCCTCATTTTTCACAAACCTTAAAGGCTGAACCGGATGATAGAAAGTTCTCTGTGGGTTCTACTTTGTTAGAATATGTAGATGAGGGATCCCTGGGTGGCGCAGCGGTTTGGCGCCTGCCTTTGGCCCAGGGCGGGATCCTGGAGACCCGGGATCGAGTCCCACGTCAGGCTCCCGGTGCATGGAGCCTGCTTCTCCCTCTGCCTGTGTCTCTGCCTCTCTCTCTCTCTCTCTCTCTCTCTCTGTGACTATCATAAATAAATAAATAATTAATTAAAAAAAAAAGAATATGTAGATGAATCGTTTCTCTGTTCCCCTTCTCAAACCTCTTTACAGATGACAGCATCTACCTATTAAAACTTACTTTTGGCCCTAAAGGGACATAACGTCTCCAAAGGAAAAAATTGCAGTTTGCTCAAATGAAGGTTCAGTCCTTAGGGCATCGGATCTGGGAACAAGGACTACATTTAGATTCAGATGAAACCCCCTTCACAACTGCTTAAGGCTGACAGGTCAGCATTTGACCCCATCATAATTTATAGGAAGCTTCTTTAACCAATGCAAATTTTTTTTTGTGGTTTACTGATGATTCTTTTCTTTTCTTTTTTTTAAGATTTATGTATTTATTTGAAAGAGGAGGTGAGCATGAGTGGGGGGTGGGGCAGAGGGAGAGAAGTCCTTAAGCAGACTCTCCACTGAACACAGAGCCCAACTTGGGGCTCAATCTCACAACTCTGAGATCATGACCTAAGCTGAAATCAAGAGTCGGACACCCAACCAACCGAGCCATCCAGGAGCCCCAACTGATGGTACAAAAATGGTAAATATTGTGCTAGATGCCACTGCAACTCCTTTTGAAGTCATTGAGACAGCACCTTTACCGTTGGCTACTTCAGCTCCAATAGGCCGAGTTATATGCCCTTTCCTGAGCTCTGTACCTTAACCAAAGGTAAAAATCACAGACATTTATACTGATAGTCAGTATGCCTTTGGGGTAGCTCATGACTTTGGAATATTATGGAAAACAACAAGAAATCCTTACCTCCAATGGGGATAAAATTTAAAATGGCTCCTATGTTCAAAATTTATTAGATGCCATACTTTTGCCAGCTGTTCTCCTCTATTATTAAGGTTCCTGTGCATTTCAGACTTGTCTCACTGGAGGCCAAAGGAAATCACCTTCCTGATATTTCTGTAAAAAACACTGCTCTCGAGGGAACCAATAGCCAAACCTGTCATTGTGTCCCAAAGGGGTGTTCTCCCAAAAAATAACTTGGGAAAATTGAACAGAGACACCCAACAATTGGCCCCATAAAAGGAAAGAGAATATTGGAAATCTAATAATTGTTGGTTTAATAAAAAGAGAGAACTCTGGTTTAGACCAAACAATAATCTGACCCTACCAAAATTCTAAAATTCCCACTACTTACCAGTGTGCATGCAATAAAACATTGGTCTACTGACAAAATGGTAAGTGTTCATGAACCAGTATTGGTGGGAAAATAATCATAGGCTGCAAAATCATCTACCTTGCTTGTCCTGCCTGTCCAAAGTATAATCCAGGAAAACATGTCCACACAAATAGATTTCCAACAGCTGCCCTGTCTCATGAATATGAATATATTTTAGTCATGGTTTGTCTATTTTCTCACTGGGCCAAGATTTTTCTCCTAGAGATAGGCCAATGCTTCTGTGGCTAAAATTCCATTAGAAAATATTATCTTTAATTTTGGTCACCTCTTGAACTTCATAGTGATTGGGGAACCTATTTTACCAGTCCAGTGCTTCGAAAAGTCTGTGCTGTTTGGCTTGGCTTTGCAACATTTTCATTGTGGACATCATCCTTGATCCTCAGGGTTAGTTGAGCACACTAATGGCAGTATTAAGACTTATTGGAAAAATTTGTAGAGACCTGCCAAATACCTTCGCCAAAAGCCTTACTTCTTCTGAATCTCAGATCCACCCCCTTTGGAACTTCTCTATACTGTCACACTCTTAGAGAGTCACAGGGCATCCAATGCACTTGGCCTCTGTCTCCTTTGATCCACAGTTGATAAAAGGAGATATGCTTAGTATTGTAAAGGCCTAATTGCTTCTGTCAGAAATAACCAGGCTTTGATAGAGCAATCTTTTCACAGTGTAATCCTGGGAGACAAAGACCCTACAAATCACACTTTGCAACCTGGAGATACTGTCTATTGGAAAAGATACCTCCAGAAAGACTCCTTTCAACCTTGCTAGAAAGGCCTTGTCAATTCTGTTGACCAGCCATTCTGCCAAACTCCAGGGAAGAGACTCTTGGACTCATGTGACACATCAAAAGGAAGCACCAAACTAGACTGGACCTGCACACCCATCTGGTGACCTGAAAGGAAAGACTTCTTGGAATTGGAGTGGATGACATGTGTCAAGACAACTTTCCCAAGATGTTTGCATGAGGCTTAACGTTTTCTTACTCTTTGCTTCTTTGATCCCTTTTATGAAAAGAAAATTACCTTGTCCATACTTCCCAAACCCTTGTGAAAGGTGGGGGGGACCTCTTATTTGGATTATGGCCTTTTGGAAACAGTATCATCATGATCCTGTAAACATTTGCAAGGGTTAGATGGTTCAGAACTCATAAAAGCCTTTCCTTCATCTGAACTGACTTTGGATTCTTATTCAAATTCATGGTTTCTGAATTTGCAACCAGATAGGTGGTATTATTGATAACATATATTTTCTAAATAGTTCTTTTGAGGTTACAATACTGTTTTAAAACATCTTTTAAGTTTGGCTGTTTTGCAAAAAGTTCATGTCTATAATTGTGCTGTATCTTCTCAAATGCACTTGATTAATTCTCTCACTATTCTGCTTTGATGGCCTTAAAATGGGGATTTTAAAGTGGGGATTCCTGGAGGCATATGTGATTCTGGGTTTGTCCCCATAAGGAGAAATTTCCTCCCTGAAGTCGGAATAAATGCCAGGAAATATTTCAGTTGATTATTTTAGACCTAGGGTCCTGGTTTAGAAACACCATTCAGTTTGGAATTGTCCTGTGATTTCTTTTGTCTTATATAACCATTTTAAGTTTTGCATTTTGTTACCTGTCAAACTTTTATAAAAATGATGTGCCCAGTAAAGAGATGATCTTTAATGCTTACCATCTTGATAAATATGGACTATAGGTGGGAATTACCTGAGAGTTCTCCCTCCTAACATTCTTTGTTTCTCAAATTTGGCCTTAAGTGATTTCCAACTACCATGCACTTGACATGACAACCAGGAAAGGTCCTTCCTGGCGCTGAGGGACAAAGCCACTAAATATGGAGAAACCCTACTCTTGATCAGTGATGCTTTCAAACAAATTCATATTTCCCCCTTTTGATCAAGATCTTTCATTTGAGAATGAAAGGAAACCTCATTAATGGGAGACCTGGGTGGCTGAGTTGGTTAAGCATCCAGCTCTCAATTTCAGCTCAGGTCATGATCTCAGAGTTGTGAGATTGAGCCCTGTCTCGGGCTCTGCTGGGTGTAGAGCCTGCTTGACATTCTCTCTCTCTCTCTCTCTCTCAAATAAATAAACACATCTTAAATAAAAAGACAATATATAATGGAGTCAGGAGGCCAGAAAGAGGAGCTCTCACACCCTACCACTTGTCATTAGTTATAGATCCAATAAGAAGAGAGGTGCCTTAAGATATCTACAGAAGATACTGCTTGACTGCCCCAGAAGAAAGGCTTTCCTCTACCCTAGCAACAGCCCAGCCAATGAGAAGCCACCACACTTTAAACTCCCATTTTACACCAATGGGCTTTCCCTTTATAACAGCCCTCCCAAAATCCCTCTTCCCTCTAAGAAAAAGCATTTGTCTCCTTTGTTCTCCCGACTTGCCTATTTATTAACTGTAGCTTGTTTGTCCTGAATTACAATTCTCTGCTATTCCTAAATAGGCCCATTTTTGCTGTTAAAATAGCTGACAGTTTTATTTTTAAGGTTAACAGAATCATTAATATTATTCACATAGCCATAGATTTATGATTATTGTAATTATCTAAGAAAGTTTCACAAATCTGGTGACTGGTTCAAGATTAGGAAGTGTTTTCTATGCATTTCTTTTTTTAAAAAATGTTTTATTTATTTGAGAGAAAGAGAGCACAAGCAGAGGGAAGCGGCAGGCAGAGGGAGAGGGAGAAGTAGGCTTCTTACTGAGGAGGGAGCCGGACATGGAGCTCCATCCCAGGATCTCGGGATCATGACCTGAGCTGAAGGCAGATGCTTAACTGACTGAGTCATCCAAGGGTCCCCCTTTTCTTAAAAAGATTTTTTTCTATGCATTTCTTATATTAAAAATAAGTTTTAATGCAAACACATTTTATTTTTTTTTTTTTATTCCTTGGATGTCAGGAGTTTTTAAGAACAGAAAATACAGTATATAGAAAAATGCAATCTAATTTGGGATCGTAAATTTTATACTAGTGACTTTACCTAGCAAAGTATTTTGTTGAAAAGAACTTGATTTTTTTTAAAGAGGGGAGCTTAAATATTTTTTATTATATTTTATTTCTGAGAGAAGGCTTATTTCTGTTTTTTTTTTTCACTTAGGTATTTTTCATCTATACCAGACAACCTCAAACATTAAAGACTGAGCCAAAACAAGCCCCCCCCCCCAAATAAAGAAAGAATTCAGGAAACAAAGATGCAAAAGATGTAAGGTGCAAAAGAAAAAAACAATTATAGTAATTTTTAGAAAGATTAAGATCAGAAGGAACACCCAGAGAACAAGAAAAAGCTCTTGGAAAATACAATGGTCAAAATAAATTTAGTAGGAGGGATGGAGGATAAACTCATGAAAATCTCTTGAAAAGTAGAACAAAAAGACAGAGAGCTGGAAAATAAGAAGGTCAAATATACTAAAGAAGTTTCAGTGCGAGAGCCCAAAGAAAATTGAGAGGATAGTATCAATAAACAAATACAAGAAACATTTTCAGCGCTGGGGCTGTAAATTACCTGTTTGAAGGGATCCGCAGTGTATCAGAAAGAAGAATGAAAATAGACCTACAGCAAGGTACTTAGTCTTGGATTGTCAAAATGTCAAAACTGGGGAGATGATACCATCAGTGTATGCAGCAGAGGAATAAAGTCACATACAAATACCAGTAATAAACTAGGGGATGAAGTTTCTCACCAACCCCACTGGGAACTGGAGGACAGGGAATCATACCTCCAAAATAATGGGAGAAATGACTTCCAAACTCAAATTCTATTTCTAGCCAAACTCTTAATCTTGGGAGGACAGACTAAATGGGCATTTTAAGGCATGCATGATTCAAAACGATTTACCTTTTATTTTTTTTAAGATTTTATTTATTTATTTGAGACACACAGAGAGAGAGAACAGAAGGAGGGAGGAGGGTCAGAGGGAAAGGGAGAAGCAGGTTCCCTGCTGGGCAGGCTGTGGGCCTCCATCCCGGGACCCCAGGATCATGACCTGAACCAAAGGCAGACACTTAACCGACTGAGCCACCCAGGTGCCCTGACGCTTTACCTTTCACGCACCCTTTTCTTAAGAAGCTACTGGAGCAGGAGCTCCCCACCAGAATGGGGGGGGGGGGTGAACCGAGAGGGAGAAAGATGGGGGCGGTAAGGAACCCAGGAGAGAGAGGACGCGAGTCTCCAGGCTAAGGCTGCAAGAAGTGCCCGCTGAGGGCTCTGAGCTGTCCCAGGGCCAGAGGAGAGCAGGGGGCTGAGGGCTGGGGGACAGATGTCTCGGAGGAAAAACAAAAATGGCCTGTTACCTGGATCACACACAGAGAGAGGGGTTTTGGAGAAAAATTAATGATGGATACATAGAGGGATCCCTGGGTGGCGCAGCGGTTTGGCGCCTGCCTTTGGCCCAGGGCGCGATCCTGGAGACCCGGGATCGAATCCCACGTCGGGCTCCCGGTGCATGGAGCCTGCTTCTCCCTCTGCCTGTGTCTCTGCCTCTCTCTCTCTCTCTCTCTCTCTCTCTCTCTGTGTGACTATCATAAATAAATAAAAATTAAAAAAAATGATGGATACATAGAGAACAAAACCAACAAAGCAGGGCAGTTCTTAAGGTGGGGGAGGGGGTGCGGGGAGGGGGGCAGAGGCGGGAAGCTTCCCTGGGAAGGAAATGTCAGCCGGTGCTGAGATGCTCGGCAGGGAACAGCATTTACCTCGTCATGATGCAAATACTGAACACGATGTTTTAAATATCGCCCAACAGCTTACTGTGAGCTGGGGAGTGTGGAAGCGTATGTATGTGGGCGGGTGTGTGTGTGCGCAAGGGAGGCAGATCCTGTTTGCCCTGGTGCAAGTCTGTAAAGGATGCCTACCGTGATATTCACAAATAGTCTTAGAGACCTGGAGGTAAATTTTAAGGATTAAGGGCAATAAATGTGGTTGCCCCTGGGGTCGGGGCGCGAGGCAGACAGGAGCCTTGAAGTACGATTTCGCCTTGAAAACACGCCCCCACCCCGTATTTTGATGCTAGACACAAACACGGCAGGTCCCCAAACTCTGCCTGCCAGTAATTCCACACCGCTCCCCGCCAGGCCCTCTGCGCCGGGCGTCCAAGGGCAGGCTCGAGCCCCCAGAGGGCCACCAGGGTCACCTGAAGCTGGAGCAGTCCCTGCGTGGCCCGTAAGGGTGGAAGGCAGCCAACAGCGCCCCAGCGGGTGTGCTTCCCCCACCTTCCCTCCAGGCTGCTGGCCTCCCGCCAAGACTCCTTTACTAAATCAAAGCTGCAAACCCTAAATCTCCTGCCCCACCCCCGCGCCATTTCCAGCCAAACTGACTTTGCAGGAGGATTTATTAAACTGGATGAACCTTCTGAGGGGGACCTTCCCCCCTTAAGCCCCAAAGCATCCTCGGTGGCTCCTGTCCTCCGGAGAGAGCAGAGGGCGCTGCTGTCCCCGGGAGCCTGGAGTCAGAGGGCCTCCGCAGACCTGCACGTTGCAGGACTTTGGGGGTGCTCGGTGTTGCCTGGAAACCAGAGACCAAATAGGAAACAGGAAACCCCAGGAGAGAGGCTGAAATATTTCGGCATCCTTTCCAGAGGCGAAGGCTCCTTGCCAGGGCCCGAGAGCAGCTCTCGTCCTTGCTTCTCAACTTTGGTTCATCCGAGCCCTCCCGCCCTGTTACAGCGCACCCCACCTCTCCCTCACCTCTTGGGGTAGAGGGGGCGTCTCAGAGGTGTTGGGGTCTGTGCGCACACACACACACACACACACACACACACACAGCTGCAAAGCCATTTACTGGCACTGGTTTCTTATGCAGCGGACAGATGAACAGAAACCACGTCTCACCCCTCTGAGTTCCCTGCAGCTGCAGGGGCCCCGGCACAGGGCGCTGACTTACTGCTTCCATGTGAGTGACCCTGGGTGAGCTGGGTCTGTCTGAGCCCATCCTAGAATCTGTAGCTGGAACCCAGTACGGCTCAGTTGGGAGAGTTCCTGGGGACAGGAGCCCAGAGCTCAAAACTTGAGCACTCCCCCCCCTCCCCCCCCCCCCCCCCCCCGCACATCCCCACCGTGTCCTTCTCTGCAGCAAACACAGGCCTGGCCACAGGGTCCCCTTCACTGTGCCCTGCTGGTGCCCCACACTCTGTCTCTCTGTCACTGGGAACCTTCTTGCT